ACTACACAGTCTTTTCTCATTGAAGACAATTCCTTTCTGCTGGGTCCTGGGGTGGCGTTAGATGAAGTCTGTCTTGATTCTTAGAAAGTCCAAGATACAAGCAGGGCAGCATAACATCATGCGGTTCTTTTCAAACTTATTTTTAACTCATGAAACTCCAGTATACAAAACAGACATATGTGTGGCTATTTTAGCTGATGTGTGTGGGAACAGGGGAAACCCAGACTGCTGGGCTCCTGCCCTGTGGCAGTTTATGGGGAACCCTCTGAACACAATTTGGAAACAGCTGTTGTAGTTTAAAAATCATGGGCCTTGGAGTTAGACCCGTTCCACTCCCCAGACACAGAGGTAATTGTATAACCTTGGTTATTGGGTTATTTAGCTGCTCTGAGCCTCAGTCTCTTCATAGGCAAAACAAAGATGATGATATGGATTGCTGTGAGGACCAAGGTATGCAAGTGGCTGGCACATGGCAGTCATGCCAACTGCTATTATTACTGTACTCTGTTCTTTAGGAAGAAAAAGTGGGGCACTGTTGGTCAGACGGGCAATCTTGGTGCAAGCATCCAAAAAGGCCCTGGACATTTGGACCCTGGACATGTGTGTGTAGGAGTATCTTGCCTTTCTGGAAGGAGTCACACTGGCCTGCCTGACCCCAGTGAGTTGGCCTCCCTAGGGTGCCTGGTTAGTTCAAAGCCTTGCCCTTTATTTCCTACTCCTGCGGATCTACACAGCCAATTTGCATTTTGCTCTCCGAAGTAACTACATATGTAAAAAGAGTAGAAACCTTCTTGAGAAAATTTTAGGTTGTAGATTATTCCCATACCCCTCAAATTCTTGGGAGAGGAAGATCTTTGCAAGCCCTTAGCCTCTATTTCCTGGGGAGAGGGGGGGTACTCTGACAGTACAGGAAGGATAGGGCTGGGGTTATTGAATCTTTGTGAGCCCGATCTCTGTCTAGACAGCCCTGCCTCATCCCAGAACCAGCTGTATTTCCATTTCTACAATAGGTCTGGCACCAACCTTGGTTTCCAGGCATTTGGGAGCATGGGTTTAAAACTAAGTTCTGAGGGGCGCCTGGCCGGCTCAGTCAGTAGAGCATGCGACCCTTGATTTCAAGGTTGTAAGTTCTACACACGGTGTAGAGATTACTTAAATAACAACAACACTTTTTTTTTTAAAGATTTTATTTATTTATTTGACAGAGAGAAACACTGAGAGAGGGAACACAAGCAGGGGGAGCGGGAGAGGGAGAAGCAGGCTTCCCGCTGAGCAGGGAGCCCGATGTGGGGCTCGATCCCAGGACCCTGGGATCGTGACCTGAGCCGAAGGCAGACGCTTAACAACTGAGCCACCCAGGCGCCCCAACAAAAAAAATTTTTTAATAAATAAATAAAACTAAGTTCTGAGCACTGTCCAGGACAAAAATCTTGCTGAAGTCACTGTAGCAAGAAAGGAAAAATCATGAGATAAAGTTACTATTTTTAGGAAGCTGTCTGAAGAGATAAGAAATAGACCCAGGACACAGGTGCAAACCCAGAGGTAGAGTCTAGTAGATTTTAAATCATAACTGAATAAATGTCCCTATATAAATGAAAGGAGTTGGTAGGATAGCATTCCAAAGCTCTGTATACATGTTAAAGGGAGAGGGGAGGCAGGTACTCATGTTCTGACCTGAAGATGGGCTTTTAAATTTGGAAAACTGGGGAGAAAACACTTAAACTGAGATAAAATACACATGCCATAAAACTCATCCTTCTCAAAAGACAAATACTATATGATTTCATTCATATGTAAAATTTAAGAAACAGATGAACATAGGGGAAGGGAAGAAAAAAATAAAATAATATAAAAACAGAGAAGGAAGCAAACCATAGAAGACTCTTAACTATAGGAAACCAACTGAGGGTTGCTGGAGGGGGGAGGTGGATGAGGGGATGGCGCAATTGGGTGATGAGCATGAAGGAGGGCACTTGATGTAATGAGCCCTGAGTTGTTATAAGCAACTGATGAATCACTAAATTTTACCCCTGAAACTAATAATACAGTATATGTTAACTGAATTAAAAAAAATTCATCCTCCTCAAGAGTAGTTTAGTGGTTTTTAGTATATTCACAAAGTTGTGCAAATATCAACACTTGGGGTTTTTTTTTTAAGTTTTTATTTATTATTTATTTAAGTAATCTCTACACACCATGTGGGGCTCGAACTCACAACTCTGAGATCAAGAGTCGCACACTCTTCGGACTGAGCCAGCCAGGTGCCCCAATATCAACTATCTGAATCTGGAACATTGCATCACCCCAAAAGAAATTCCGTATCCATTAACAGCAGGACTGAAAAATTTTAAATGTCAAATTTAGGTCAGGAAGAGATGGCAAGAGATGCTCATGGAGACTCCACCCTGGTAAGAAAGTTTCGGAGAGATTATGTCATAAACAAAAAGGTCTGGGACTTTCATAGTCAGAAGCTGGGGCCTAAGCCAGCTCACACCTAGCCATCTGATTTGGTGATATTCCAATCCACAGCATCTGCTTTTGAAATCTGTCAACGCCAACACATTACCTTAGGGTAGCTCATTTCTTTCCCCATATAGGGCAACCATGAGTGGTGTAGGGTAGACAAAAGTCAGAGACTGAGAGAAAAGAAAGAAGTTCCTTTCCCAGGACCTACCCCATTAAGAGAAAGTCACCAGACCTGTCTGGTAAGAGAAACTGGGTCACTTGCAGAGCTGAGGGAGAGTCACTTACCCTAGCCCAGTGTCTCTGCCTGCTTTAGAACCTTGAAAACCAACACCCTTCCAGGAAAGGAGAGGAGAAAACCGGGGGCTCAGAAGGCAGCAGAGTGGTCCTGCCAGCTTCCCCGGTAGAATTAGTAGCTCTGATAAGAGCCCTTCAGTTTCCTGTCCCATGGGTGTGACCAAACTTGGACTCTGGGGAACCTGATGAGGCTGAACTGAGTTCCCGCCAACTTGCCAGGTAGAGGAGTGACCACTTGATGTCAGGACAGTATCCTCAGGTGGCCCAGTAAGCATGCAGGCCAGCTTCGGCAATAAAGCTACTCCTGGGGACCGGGCCTGACAATTGTCACAGAAACGGATAAACCCTAGACTATTGATGCTGGAAGGTTTGATAATAGCTACCATGTATTAAACATGCACTATGGATTACTTTACGGGCATTTATTTTCTCAAACTTCATAGCAACTCTTAAGGTACAGTTTTTTAACCCCCACTTTACAAACGAACAGCGAGGGCACAAACGAAAAGCAAAACTAAGAGCCTTGGCCACGGAGGGCTGGGGTCCAAACCCAGGCAGTTCAGACACCACAGTTTTTGTCAGACTTTCGTCCAAACCCTTTGATACTGAAGGGGAAACTGAGACCCAGGGAAGCATAATGGCTTTTCCAAGGTCTCACAGCCAGTCGGGGACACAATCCAAGCCCATCGGTTCAGGGCTGCCTGGATCCTGGAGGGCAGTGGGGACGCCTTGGCGGCCGGGCAGCCAAACCCTTGCCCGCCTGGCCGGGCCGGGCCACGCCAGCACAGCGGCTGACTCAGAGGGCGGGGACTCCTTTTGCCGCACGGCCCCGCCCCGTCCCGCTGCTCCGAGGATGCGGAGCTCTCGGGCTGGGCGAGTGGCAACTCGTCTGAGTGAAACCGGGAGAGCACTGCCCTTGGCGCTTGGCGGACGGCGAGGGGGAAGCCCTCACTCCGGCGGCGCGGCGCGACGCCGGCGAGGCCCGGAGGTTGGGGGGAAGACGCCCCGCGCGCGCGTGTGTTCCGCCGCGCTCTCTCCTATTGGCCCGTCGGGCTCCGGGGGCGGTACCCTGAGCAGCTCTCTCCCGAGATTGGACGACATCGGCCTCGGGCCCGCCTCCAGCCCCGGGGCCGTGAAGGCGGGAGCGAGCGAGGCGGCCGCAGGTCTCGGCGTGTCGGAGCTGGCGGCGGAGGCGGCGAGCTGGGCTGGCCTGGGCGTGTCTCCGCTCCCCGCGGCCCTTCCCACCCGGCTCGGGGCTCCTCCTCGCCTGCCCGTTTCATTTCGTCCCCCACGTCCGAACGCCGGGGGCGGGGGCATTCCCCTCTCCTCAGAGATGGGCTTTTAATGGCGGCGTCATGCCCCTGTCAGATTGCGCTCGCCCCGTCTCAGATTTGAGCGTTTGATGGGACTCTTCCTCGCTTTCAGAACTGGGATGCTCCCTGCCGCTCGCTACAACCTGTCCTTGCAGCACGGACCTCGGCCCTCACACCCGAGACTCCCTGCTTTCCTGTCCTCTCAGATCGGAGTTCTCCAGCCTCCCCCCCGCCTTCAGAGCAGCCTCAGAGCCGCCTTTGCGCTCTCCTGACGCTCCCGGGACCACACCGACGAGTTTGTTGGGGGCCACCCTGGTGGAGAGCTGGACCCCACCCCGCAGCCTCTCACCTGGAGTCACTGGCTCCAAAGTCTTGCCTGTGGGTCACTGAGCCAGCCCCTTGAGAGGTCAGGGCCCTAAATCAGAAGCAAAAGTCAAGGTCTCTAAATCATAAGCCAATCCCTGTCCCATCCGTCCACCAATAACGAAGAGACAGGAGGAGTGTCACAGGGGAACTTTATTGAGAGGAAACAGGGTCACACCGAGCAGACACGCATTCCCTGTCGTCCTGGGTCCTCCGCGCGCTCTCTCACTCGCTCTCGCTCGCTCTCACTCGCTCTCGCTCGCTCGCAGTCTCTCACACACTCGTTTCCAGACTCTGCCGCACAGTGCGGCTCTCTGCCGCAGGGGTGGGACACTCCTCAATTCCTAAGATTCAGAGGCACACGGGGGCGGGAGGGAGGGAAGGGGGGGCTGGAGGAGGGGTGCAGAGAGCAGGGGTGGGGGCGCTGACCACCGGGGAGGAGCACCGGCAGCTGCAGGAAGAGAGCCGGCCCCCCCCTGGCTCCAGTTGGCTTCAGCTCTGCTGGTCCCTCTCCTGGGAGCTTTTGTGAGCAGGCGGGGCAGAGCGTTGGGGGAGAAGGGCCGGGCCCCCCACCCCGTACTAGTCCTCTCTGCCACGGGCGGGGTGCTGGAGAGGGCAGGGCGCGGCAGGGAGGGGGCGGGCACGGCTCAGCTCTGGGGTTCCTCGGGAGCCTCGCCGGCCTCTTCCCCGGCGTTGTCGGCGGTCCACAGCGTCAGGTTGTCTCGCAGCAGCTGCATGATGAGGGTGCTGTCTTTGTAGGAGTCCTCGCTGAGGGTGTGCAGGTCAGCCATGGCCTCGTCGAAGGTGGTCTTGGCCAGTGAGATGGCCTCCTCGGGGCTGTTGGCGATCTCGTAGTGGAAGACAGAAAAGTTCAGGGCCAGGCCCAGGCGGATGGGGTTGGTGGGTGGCATCTCCTTCTTGCTGATGTCCATGGCCTCCTGGTAGGCCGACCTGGCTGAGTCAATGATGCGCTTCTTGTCGTCACCAGTGGCCACCTCAGCCAGGTAGCGGTAGTAGTCGCCCTTCATTTTCAGGTAGAAGACCCGACTTTCAGCATCCCCGGCCTCCTTGATGAGGTGGGTGTCCAGCAGGCCCAGCACCGTGTCACACACGCCCCGGAGCTCAGTCTCCACCTTCTCCCGGTACTCTCGCACCTCGGGGCCCTTCTCTTCTGAGCTCTCTTCGTTGCCCTTCTGCTCGATACTGGACAGGACCCTCCAGGCAGCCCTCTGGCCACCCACCACATTCTTGTAGGCCACTGAGAGCAAGTTCCGCTCTTCGCAGGACAGCTCCTCACCCTTTTCCACGGCGCTCTTCATGAAGGCTGCCATGTCCTCATAGCGTTCAGCCTGCTCTGCCAACTTGGCCTTCTGGATCAGACTGGCTCTCTCCATGGCTCTGGTGACAGACAGACAGGCGGCGGGCTAGCTGGCTGCCTTGAAACCAGTGCCGGATTCTGTGCCTCTCCAGCTCTCGGCCTGCCTTTTGGCTGGATGGCCTGGCCCCAGAGAAGGGTGGGGAGGGAGAGAGGGCGGGGCTGGGGCCCAGGACCTGCCTCCCTCTCCTCTTCTCCCCACACCCTTTCCGGCTCTTCCTTAAAGGTAAAAGGCTGGGATACGGGGTGAGTCATCAGGGCAGTCAGCAGGAGAAAACCGGCCTGGCGTTGGCCCCACCTGCACAGACACCTTTCCAGGCTCCAGGCTGCCCCCTCTTGTTCAGGGCTTCGAATACATGAATGCCCACATAGCTGCCCCAGTTTCTCAAATCACATCCTCCTTCCTGGTGTTCTTCCAGGGGCCAAGGATGGCTTCAACCAACTGGCTGCTTCAGCCTAGCTAGAGGCCCATGAAGACAGGTGCACCCAGGAGGATGGGGTTCTTAATCCTACCACGTACATTTCCCACCTTGGTTCAGGTGAGATAATTATGTTTAGGTAAGGCTGTAGTTTCCCAAGCATCTTCACATCCATGATTGAATTTAATCCCTACTACGTCACTGTGAGATGGGCCAGACTGTGACTATTACTCCCACTTCAGAGATGGGAACGCTAAGGGATGAGATGTGCTCAGGGTCACACAGCTACTAAGTCCCCTGCATCCTACTTCCTCTGGCTTCTCTTGTCAAGGCCTCTGACTTGTGAGCTCCAGGTTGTATTTAGAAAAGAGATCCAGGCTTCTTCTGGAGTCTACCTGAAATGGTTCTATCCCCTGGTCATCACTCCCCCTCAGTGTTCCCTCTGCGTTCCCAGAATGCACAGGTGGCATCGCTCAGGGTGCCACTTAATGAGGTGTTTAACGAGCGGCCCCTGACGCTCCAGCCCAGCCTTTGTGATTAGTCACCCAGTAGGTTTGTTGGACACCTTCCCCATCACAGCACAATTTTCCCTTTCAAGTTGGTGGCCTGTTGCCACTTGTTTGAGGACCTGCCCTCTGGCTCTCCACGCCAGGTCATCTACCCCCTCCGAGCCGCCTGCCATCATGTATCAGTGGGGCCCACAGGGTGGGGACCCAGCTTTCCTGCCTGACTCAGCCTGCCCTCTGTCAAAGGCTGGGAAGCAGGCCACTTGGGTGCTCAGCCCAATTTGGTTCCCCGGAGCGGGAGGGGGGACGCTAGCACCTGGGGAAAGAGACAGGACCGAGATAAAGAAGGAGGTGGTGACACATACTATTTTGTTTTATGGGGTAGCAGTCCCAGGTGAGTGCTGCCTCCCCCAGCCTGCCTCTCAGAAATTTCTCTGTCCCCTCCCTTTGACTATGGCCCTCCCTCTGACCCCTGGCAGAGGCCTCAGAGATGGGAGACTTCTCTCTTGCCAGCCTTCTGTCCCTGTTTGCTGGGATGCTGTTCTCATTCAGCCAGGAGTTTCACCTGAAGGTGTTGGCACCATGCCCGTGAGGGTGGGTTCCTGCTTCTCTGCCCCACCCCTAGCGAAAGCTCAGATGGGGCTCAGGGGTGGGGCTCCCCTCACTGGGATCCAGCCAGCTTAATCTTTGCGCCAGGGCCATCTCACAGGCCTGTCCCTCCCTGGTTCCTCTTGGTTGGTGTCTGAATACCCACCCTTCCCCTCCCGGAGGGAGGCTTAGGCCAGAACTCTGAGGCCCAAAGATGAGATCTGCCTCTTTGAAGGAAATGTAGGAGCATGCCTGGGCAGGTACTACAGGTTATCCAAGGAAGCAGAAGGGATTTTAGGCTCGACATCTCTAAGGCTTTGCTCAGATGGGATCACTGACACAGAAAATGATGGAAAGGAAATACATTAAAATACTAATTTAATAGAGTGTGTCTTTAGGTAGTGGGATTCCGAGTGATTTTTTTCCTTTTGATTTTCTTATTTTGTTCAATGGTAGATATGTATTATTTTTCTGTAAGAGATAGAATAGCCTAGCATCATTGGAATCAGACTGCCTGGGTTTAATTTTTAGAAGCTGTATGGCCTTGGCCAAGTGACTTAACCTCTGTGAGCCTCTGTCTTCCTAAGTGTAAATAAGTGTACAATGGGGCCTATTGTGAAGATTAAATGAGTTGATGGAAAAGCACTTAGTAGAGTGAATGGTAACTTTTATTATCATGTGAAAAAATCCAACCAATGGATTTCCTAACATGGAGCTGGGTTCTGTGAAATGACAAAGGGTCCCAAACCAAGCCTCAGCCGAGGACTGGACCCTGCCCTGTTGAGTGCCCTGTTGAGTGTCCCTAAGAGAGGGAAGACAGATGAATGGTCAGATGTGCTCACTCAGCACTGGCTCCTCCCTCTGCAGATGACATTCCTCTGGCCTATGCAGGCCCGAGGCCCTCAGGGACCTTCCTTTGTACTAGTCATCCAGCTCAGGCTTTCCCAAGTCCTGGAGGGAAGCTGGCGATCCCAGAGCACCAGAAACCTGGAAGGCAGGGCCTGGCAGGCCTAGGAATTTTGGAGGTGCTCTGTTCCTAGGAAGGCAGCATTCTCTTCCTATCACTTAAGCCAGGAGACCTGGTGGTGGAGACCACAAGCTCCATGCCCTCGGCACAGCCAGAAGAGAGAAGAGCGAAAGGAAGCCTCTTCACTCCTCCCCCTCCCCTGCTGAAGCTTAGGGGTGAATCCGGGAGCCAGGCTACCCTGCCCGCTCTAGCCTGTCGATCCTGACTCAGTTCCTGTCTCAGACACCTCCCTTTGCCTCCAGGCCTCCATTTCCCAAGTCCAGGAGCCCAGGCAGGCAGGAGGCAGCAAGCCCTGGCAGGGCACGGAGTCCCACCGTCAGTCGCCTGAGTCAGCAGGACAGGAGCCGGGACTGCGGCCAAGGGGGCTTTCCTCCTCCTGCCTGCTGTCTTCCATATAGCATCCATCCCGCCAGCAGGTTCAAGAGGCAGCCAATCCTTAGCTGGTAATCACAGGCTTGTGACAGAGAAGGCAGCCACCTGTTGTTGCTATCTATCTGCATTGAGAACAGAAGACAGGACACTCTGAATACAGAAGGAGGGAGTGATTAGAATCCAGGAAGAGGGGCGCCCGGGTGGCTCAGTCGTTAAGCGTCTGCCTTCGGCTCAGGTCATGATCCCAGGGTCCTGGGATCGAGCCCCGCCTCGGGCTCCCTGCTCCGCGGGAGGCCTGCTTCTCCCTCTCTCACTCCCCCTGCTGTGTTCCCTCTCTCGCTGTGTCTCTCTGTCAAATAAATAAATAAAATCTTAAAAAAAAAAAAAAAGAATCCAGGAAGAACTTCCTATGAAACTTTTTCCAGTCTTGGAATGATCAAATTAAACAGGTGACTGGAGGAAGGTTATGACACCTCTCCCCCTGGTTAGTTGTAAACAAGAGTTCAGTTATCCAGCCAAGGGCTCACCCTACTAGTTGCCTTTGGGAGGGAATATTAGATTACTTTTAAGTGACTCAGCTATCCCGTCTTTTTCTCCTCAAGGCACTGTTGTTTAGAGTATCCCACATCTCCTAGACCAGTCCAGTCTAGGATACAGTGTGCACTTAGTGGAAAGGGATTGGAATGTCAGCCTATGGGACTGCATCCCAAATCTGTTTTAAAGACTTTCAGGGGAAGGGGAGGATCCCTTTCTGCCTCTCAGCCTCAGTTTCCCCATCAATACAAGGAGGCCAGCACAGATCACCTCTAAGCCCTCTGATAGCTATGAACAACAGCCTCTAGCTGGGTTTTCCCTCTGAGGTCCCCTCCTCCTGAAGTAGCCCTATTCATTCCTTGGGTAGTGCAGAAGGGTCAGAGGTTATGGCAGGGATTGGGTTCAAATCCTAGATTTGCTGCTTTATCAGTTGGGAGACCCTGCGCAACTCCTGTGCCTTCCTTGCGCCTCAGTTCCCTCATCTGTAAAAAAGCTGACATCACCTTCCTCATAGGTTTAGGTGAGAAAATGGGCCTGGCCCTCGGCTAGCGCTTGCTAAATGGCTGCCGAAATTATTTGTGAGCTCTTGGCATATAGTGCGTGTATCTCAGTGTGGGGCAGCAGCTGCGGGGAGGGAAGGGTCCATGAGACCGTTAGCCTGGACTGGGTTCAGTTCAAGGGGTGACAGTTCCATCTTGGTGGGACTTTTCAGAGTTGAGGTCAGCTAAGGCTTGAAAGTCTCTAGCACTGAGACCAGTTCTAGAAGAGCAGAGCGAAGAGGACACTTCCGGTGTCACTTCTGGCTTCACTGTGCCTCTTCTTTTAAATCTCCAGAACGGGGGCACCTGGGTGGCTCAGTCGGTTAAGCGACGGACTCTTGGTTGCGGCTCAGGTCACGATCTCATGGATCAGAGCCCTACATCGGGCTCTGCGCTCAGCAGGGAGTCTGCTTTAAGATCCTCTCCCTCCGCCTCCCCCACCACCCCGCCACTCACTCAGTAAATAAATCTTTAAATCTCCGGAATGGCACTGACCAACTAGAACAAAGCTGGCGGTGAGGGTAAGCCAGATGTTCTGCACACTCATCACAGGCCTCACCCCTGGACCCCAAGTAAAGGTGGCACCAGACAGCCAAGGATATGGCAAGAAGAGGGAAATCTTTATTTCGGTTAAAAAAGGTACAGGACAGCAGACAAGCAGCCCCCGGCCGTGGACTCAGCCGATTTCCTAGGCCCAGCCCAGTTTCCTTTAGTTCCTCTGAAGAACGTGGGGCTGTCAGAGCTAGCTCAGTCCCTCAGCGCCTGGGGCAAAGGGCACAAGCATCCTCCTTGCATCTTCGGTACTTGGGGTAGTGGGGACGGAGGGGCCGTGGGAACAGTGTCAAACCGGTTGTGCTTAGAACAGTCACCAAACTTGTTCAGCAGCGTCATCAACCACCAACACCCCAGAGGCTCCTGAAGAAACCTGCTCAGCTCCACTATGGCTATGCCTGATTCTGGGAGGGGGCAGGCTGTAAGGCCAGATTCCTGAAGAGTCTTGACACCTTACGGATCTGGGGAAGGGGACGGGAAGTGGAAATGGGGGCAAGTTTCAGCATAGTATTGTATCATTGTGCTGGC